GTGTGTGTGTTTAAATTGTTAAACCAGTGGTATAGAGGGAAAAACAGTTGTTAGGAAACATGGTATCTAGGATGTTGGTAAGAGGCAGGAAAATCGGAAGTCCAAGGCTACCTAAGCAAGACCTTGTAGAGAAAAACCAAACCAAACCAGAAATAATCCATGGAGACGTTGTTCACTTAGCAGAATTACTTGTCTGTCGATTACAATTGAGGGGTTTCCAGTATATTGAGTGTTACAGCCATCACCATTCCAGAACATTTTCTTCACCCTAGAAAGAAACTTGTGCCCTCATCACCCACAGCCCTCAGGCCCCTGGCAGCCGCTAATTTACTTGTGTCTGTGGCTTCACATTTCATTTGAGTGGAATCTAAGTCATGCTTTCACCCCTTTTCAGCTTGGTTATAGTCAAGGTAAGGTCTCACTTTGCACCTGAGAGGGCCTGGGCTCCAATCCTCCTCCCTGTGCCTCCATTTATCGCTAGTGATGACAGGAGTGCACTGCTGTGCCCAGTCATTGGCTGAGATGGAATCTCAAGAACTTTTCTGTCCCTGGCCCAGAGCCTTGAGCTGTGGTCCTCCCATCTCTGCCTCCCAAGTGGCTAGGATTATAGGCTGGAGCCACTGAGCTCAGCTTGTGTCTTCTTTCTTTTTATTCAGCATACCGCTATCAAGGTTCATGTGGTAGTGTACACTAGTCGTCTTTATCTCTGCATCATCTTTTTTATTTGGTCCTGGGGCTTGAACTCAGGATCTGGGTTCTTTTCCTCAAGGCTAGTGCTCTACCACTTCCATTTTTTTTGGTGGTTAATTGTAGATAAGAGTCTCACAGACTTTCCTGCCCAGACTGGCTTTGAACTTTGATCCTCAGATCCCAGCCTCCTGAGTAGCTAGAATGACAGGCGTGAGCCCTGGTGCCTGGCTTGCATAATGTTCTATTGTATGCTGAGTCTGCATTTCATGTGTCTATTCACCTCATTGGACATTTGTGTTGTTTTCACCTTTTGTCATGAATAATGCTGTTTTAAGTTTGTGTGCAGGTTTTAGTGTGGACACATACTCGGATCTCCTGGGTAACTACCTAAGAACTGCAGGGTTGAAGAAGGAAATGTATTTTTGGTGTGTTTGTGTGTGTCCTAGCTTTGTCTTAGCTGCAGGACTGCCTCAGTGCAGGGGTGTCCTCAGCCCCATTCTCCTGGGAAGGCTGGAGCCGGGAGCGCGGAGCCTGAGCTCCAGCTGGCTGTTGAGTGGGTGGTGAGCTGTTCTGGAGCTCAGCTTCACTGAGAGCTTGTGGAGGGTTTATTTCTTCCCCAGGATCCCGCCTCTGTCAGATCTGTTTCTTCTGAAGTGAGAGGATACTTCAATGAGAGGGGAAAGTTCACAAGAAGTTGGGTCCGATCCCGAGTGGCTCCTGCGACAATCTTTGCAGGGCCTGGGTGTGGCCCTCCTCTGCTCCGCGCAGGACAGGACAGGAGGGCTGCAGGGGACTGCTCCTTTACTTCATAGATTGGGAAGCTGGAGGGAGGGTCTGCGACTGGGTTGCCTATTTTATTTTTTGCCCAGCTGGGAAAATTAAAAACCCCAACAACTGCTTCCTCCTCACCAACATTTTATGCAAGTAAGATTTGTTTTTGAGGCTGTCACCCAGGCTGGGGTTTATCAGTTCTCTCTCTTTTTTTTTTCCATCAGTCGTGGGGCTTGAACTCTGGGCCTGGGCGCTGTCCCTGAGTTCTTCAGCTCAGGCGAGCATTCTACCACTTGAGCCACAGCGCCACTTCTGGTTTTCTGGTGGTTCATTGGAGGTAAGAGTCTCATGGATTATCCTGCCCTTTCCTGTCTGAGCTGGCTTTGAACCGCAGTCCTCAGAGCTCAGCCTCCTGAGTAGCTAGGATGACAGGCGGGAGCCACCAGCGCCAGGCTTGTTTTTCTTTCTTTCACACACCTCTTTCCTCAGTCTTGTGTCTGAGGCCCAGCGTCCACCAGCCTTCAGGCACAGTGAGCTGTGTAGAGCTGCATCCAGTGCACCTTAATTTGGCCCATGGCAGAGGTACCCTATAACTCGTTGGGTGGATGGGAAGGCCTGAAGGTCTAAACTGAATGAGCATGCGGAAATACTCAACTTTAAAGCATTTGGTGGTTTTTTTTTGTTTTTTGTTAGTCGTGGGGTCTGAACTCTGGGCCTGGGAACTGTCCCTCAGCTCTTCAGCTCCAGGTGAGTGCTCTACCACTGGAGCCACAGTGCCACTTCTGGCTTTTTCTGTTTATGTGGTACTAAGGAATCGAACTCAGGGCCTCATGCATGCAAGGTAAGCACTCTATCACTGAGCCACCGTCCCAGCCCCTGATTTTCTTCTTTATATTAATTTGAAACATTTTGAAATACCAATTATATAATATTTGAACATATAATTTGTCTAATATATGTCTAACCACCCACTTTAAATACAACATGACTAGTACAAGTTTTTCCTTTTTTTTTTTTTTTTGTCAGTTGTGGGGCTTGAACTCTGGGCCTGGGCGCTGTCCCACAGCTCTTCAGCTCAAGGCTAGCACTCTACCACTTGAGCACAGCACCACTTCTGGCTTTTTCTGATTATGTGGTGCTGAGGAATGGAACCCAGGGCCTCATGCATGCAAGGCAAGTGCTCTACCACTGAGCCACCTTCCCAGCCCCTCCTTTTTTATTTTTTTAATTTAATTTAATTTTATTTGTGAACATACTGTACAGAGGGGTTACAATTACATGGGCAGGATAATGCGTACATTTCTTACCAAGCATTGCAGCCTCCTCCTTTGGTTTACCCTTCCCATCCCTTCCCAGGCTCCCCCTCCCCCCCAATCCCAATCCTTCTCCTTCCCCCCCCCCCGCCCCCCGCACCGACGTTGTAAAGCTCGTTTTGGACATGACAACTTGTACTTCTCATTGTTGCAACAGGTCCACCTGTATCCTTAAACAACTGGTTTTTCCCCATCTCCTCCACAAGTTACACTGACATCAAATATAGTGAAAGCAGGGGTTATACTGTGGGGGAGGGACATACAAAGCAACAAAGAGATAATCTTATAAATGTGTTAGAAACACATGCATGAAAGAAAAAAACATTAAAATACATATCTAAGGGTTCATTTTCCTGACATCACATTGTCTGACCTTTTCCACTTGACTCATACATATACTAGATATTGCAAATAAGGAAAACCATGGGACTTATGTTTCTTTGGGCCTGGCTTACTTCACTTAATATAATTTTTTCCAAGTTTTTCCATTTCCTAACAAATGGGGCAATGTCATTCTTTCTGATGGAGGCATAGAATTCCATTGTGTATGTATACCACATTTTCTTGATCCATTCATCTACTGAGGGGCCTTTTTTATTTTTTTATTTTTGGCAGTCCTGGTATTTTGAACTCATGATCTTATACTTGCTGAGTAGGTACCCTTATTGTTGAACTCTGCCTCTAGCCCTGAGTTTTGCTGTTCCTTATTTACTTTAGCTGAATGGAGTTATCCTAATTTCTATTTATGATTATTCTTTTTGAGATAAGGTCCTACTTCCTGCTTGGTATGTGCCTAGGTGCTAGCCACCTGTGTTAGGCTTTCTGGTAGCTCAGATAACACACATGCTACCAGGTCTCCATTGAGAAGTTTCATGAATTTTTTTTCTGCTCCCCCTGGCCTAGAACTGGTTCCCCAACAATTTCAGCCTCCTAAGTAGCTGGGATTACAGCTGTAAGTCACTCTGCCTGGCAGGACTAGTACTTTGAAGCCTGCTGTTTCTCTTGCAAACAGGCAAACCACATTCTTCCTTGCCATCTGGGTTTCAAAGTGCCAGGTCTTACCTGTGCTCTTTCATCCATTTGAGGAGATTTTTGTATAGATATAGGGGCTCACCTGTAGTCTTTTTAATGTAGATATCCAGACTTTTTTTTGTGTGTGCCAGTCTTGGGGCTTGAACTCAGGGCCTGGGCACTGTCCCTGAGCGTCTTTTGCTCTAGGCTTGCACTCTACCACTTGAGCCACAGCGCCCTTCCGGCCTTTTCTGTTTATGTGGTGCTGAGGAATTGAACCCAGGGCCTCATGTGTGCAAGGCAAGCACTCTATCACTGAGCTACCTTCCCAGCCCATAAAGTCTTTCTTGAAGTGAAATAAGCATCTTAAAAGGACAGAAGTGCTTATAGACATGCAGCGCATAGCAGTAGAAGGCAGTGCGCTGGGGGGGCTGGTGGTGGAGTTTGGCCTTAGAGGGAGCTCGGGATGGGGGGTGGACTCAATCTTAAAACCAGCACATTCTATGCCTATTTTACCACCTCAGAGCCTTTCTTTTTGGTCATGCTGGTGGTTTTGACCCCTTTTTCTGGATCGCATGGAGGTGGGCAGCTCTAACGTGTCAGCTGCCCAGGCTTCCTCTTCAGAGATGGCTGCTGGCGCCTGGGCCCCAGAGGCTGGGTGGCTGGCTTCCTTGTGCATGCATTTCCTGTTGGCCTGGCTTTCCCTGTGCTCTGCAGTGGCAAGGCCCACAGGTAGATGTCCCCGTCTGTGCGGGCCTGGTTCCATCCCTGTGACTGTGTGCAGCCGTGCTGAGGTGGCGCTCACCTCGCATGGCCTGTGGCCTGGTGGGCTCGGTGGTTCCCGGCAGCGCGGTGTCCTTCCTCTGACTCCACACTCCCCTCCGGCCTGGGGCACGCGTGGGGCCTGTGGAGGCCGGGGCGTGGCTAGGGTGTGCACGTCCCACTTTCCATCCGCACAGAGCCTGGCGCTTGGGGAAGCCCGCCCCGAATGCTGAGCAGGTGCGTGATGGGATTTGGTGCGCGGAAGGTGCCAGCCGTGGCCTCTCAGGAAGGGAAGGTCTGTCTGGCGTGGATTCGGCGGGCCTCTTGTGGTCACGTCCAGGGATAGCCCCGGATGGGGGTTCTCAAAGGGGGCCCCCTGCCTGCACCCCCGGACCCCCGCCCCGCGGGAGCGGGCTGCTCAAGGCCTCCCCCCCTCCCCCGCAGGCCTCCAGGATGAGCGTGCCTGACTACATGCAGTGCGCCGAGGACCACCAGACGCTGCTGGTGGTGGTGCAGCCGGTGGGCGTGGTGTCGGAGGAGAACTTCTTCCGCATCTACCGGCGCGTGAGCGCCGTCAGCCAGCTCAGCCTGCGCGACTCGCAGCGCGCGCTCTTCATCCGCTACCGCCACCACTACCCGCCCGAGAACAACGAGTGGGGCGACTTCCAGACGCACCGCAAGGTGGTGGGGCTCATCACCGTCACCGACTGCGCCTCGGCGCGCGACTGGCCGCCCGCGCTGGAGCGCTTCCAGGTGCAGAAGGAGCTCTACGGGGCCACGCTCTACGACTCCCGCCTCTTCGTCTTCGGCCTGCGGGGCGACGTGGCCGAGCAGCCGCGCCCCGACGTGGCCTTCTACCCCAGCTACGACGACTGCGCCTCGGTGGAGAAGCGCATCGAGGACTTCATCGAGTCGCTCTTCATCGTGCTCGAGTCCAAGCGCCTGGACAGGGCCACCGACAAGTCCGGGGACAAGATCCCCCTCCTCTGTGTCCCCTTCGAGAAGAAGGACTTCGTGGGCCTTGACACAGATAGCAGGTAGGTGTCCTGAGGGACCGGCCCCGGGGCTGCCCCAGCCGAGGGCCCGGCAAAGGACGGGGCTCCCTCGCCCAGCTGGGCCATCAGACCCAGGGCGTGCCACACCGCTGGCGCAACCTCAGGAGGCTGAGAGCTGAGGATCGCGGTTTGAAGCCAGCCGGGCAGGAAGGTCCGGGACACTCTTAGCTCCAGTGAGCCGCCAGAAAACAGAAGTGGAGCTGTGGTTCCAAGTGGTGGGGGGCCAGGCTTGAACAGAAGAGCTCAGGGACAGCGCCCAGGCCCTGAGTTCAGCTCCATGACTGAAAAAGAACAAACAATTCCCCAGTGATTTTTAAAAACCGGGGTGACCAGAGTGAGGTTGGAGGGATGGGGAGGCCTCTGGAGGAAGGTCCCTCAGGAACCAGTGGTTCCCCTCGGTGACGGCCCCCTGGGACCCCTGGGTGCTGGCTAAGACAGCAGCCTCCCCCACCCCAGCCCCAGAAACTAGGCTAGCGGGACATGACTGGAAGATTTCCCTACTGAAAAAAAACTTAAAATGCCCACCCCCCCTGCTTTTTTTGGCCTTATCCACATTTCAGATTAAAAGACGTATTATTAAAGCCTATTTCAACTGTCCTTTATAAACGTGGCCGCTAGAGACCCTGCGAGTTCGTGCTGCCCTCTGCTGCCTGGTGCTGCCTCAGAGCCTCCCCTTCAGCTTTGCTTGACAAGGAAGCACTGAGTCTAGACTGGCAGGAACCAGGCCCTGGGTGGGAACCGAACCCACGGCTCTGACCCCCAACTCTCTGTAGGTGCCAGACCACTGATAGCCCCAGCAATGCCACGGGTGTCACCAGGGCGCCCCAAACAGCCCTCCATGTGAGCAGTGTGGCCGCTCTGTTTCAGAGTCTGATAGGGCTTCCTGCTGCCTGGCTTTCCTTGGACTAGAACTGCAGATTAGCTCTTCTTGAACTCCCTCTTTGTCCATCTTTGCCTCTATGGCTGATACAAGCCCGGCAGCAGCTTTTGCCAGCGGGTCTCTGTCCTCCGCCCGGTGGTGTGACTGCCCCTTACTGGCCTGGTGGTATTGGCAGCCGCCCGCACTTGATTCTCCTCTTGGTGGGGTTTCTCTCCAGGGGGATCAAACGACGCGCCATGCTGTGCCTGCCACAAAATCCTGTGCTTCTGGAATTTCTCACAACCATGTAGTTACTTTCTTGCTGGTGGCATGTCTGAGGAGGAAGTGTTACAAAACTACAGAGAGTAGGCCAAGTCCGGGCCTGGCAGTTGGGAATGTGAGGGGGCCTCTGTCAGACTGCAGGCCACGCGGTGCAGGGGCTCTTTTTGGCTCTAGGAAAGGACAGGCCTGTCTGTACCCTCCCCGGCAGGGGAGCACTCCACTGCAAGGCTTAGAAAGCAGAGCCGCTCCCATTCCCAGGGAGCCTCCCGCCCATCTCTGGCCTCACTGCAAAGCCTTTCCCAGCTCCATGCCTACCTCTGTGCAGCCCCGAGCTCCTCCAGCCCTGCAGCCGCCTATCAGGGTGGTGGGGAGTGAGTGGCCCAGCCCTCGGGGCCTCAGAAACTCCCTGAGGGAGCCCCCTGGGAGTGAGCTCTGCTCCCACCCTCGGGCCAGTGCCTTTGTCCTTTGCTATATGAACAAAGGGACATTTGTCAGCTGTCAGCTTCCACCAGTGAAGTGGGTTCCACAGGAATGGCGGAGCCTGCCAACACTGCCGCAGACATTGCCAGCTGTTCACCTGGGGTTAGATCATGGCCCTCAAGGGCATGTCCACTCGAGATTACGAGCAGTCGTCCCTCAAAGTTGAGAAAGAAGCTTGGTGAGCCACGGTCTGATCCGTGCTCTGCCCACTGGTGATCCTTGCCTCTCAGGACTCCAGCTTCTGTTTCCTGCAGGGCTTCAGAGTGTTGCCCTGGCCTGTACTCCTGCCAGTGTGGAGCTGCGGGGACATGTGTGCACCACGCCCAGTTTGGGTTTGGCACCCTCTGGTAGTCCTTCCTAGGCTGCTGGGGAGTGTTCGTTTCTCATCGGAACCAAGGGTGGGTTTTGTACATATAGCTATCAACACTCTTTTTTGTTCTTGTATGTTTCTAATTTTGCTTGTTCTTCTTCTTTTCCTTTTCTTTTCCTTTTTCTCTCATACTGCCCTGTGAGTATGTTGTTGGGTCTGAAAAGGTAGGCTGTGAATGGATTGCCCCCAAAGTAGCTAGCTTTCCCTGCGTGCGGTTTCATTGCCTTCACCGCTTCCAAGAAACAGCTAACTGCTGCCTACCTCCGTGTGTTTCATTTTCACATGTTCTTTAGTTGTAGCATTTTAACCTATTGGTATTTGATATTTGTCAAATACCTGCTCTTTTTTTTTCTTAGTGACAAATGAGCCTGTACTAATTTTTGTACTGCAGTGCGGTGGCAGTGGCTTTGGGGGCTGCAGAGGTGTTTCCGTGGCTGTTCAGCTGGGGCCACAGCAGCAGCGCCTCGCTTGGCCCCAGGCGTTCAAGCGAGAAGCCGGCATGAGGTTGGCGCGGTTGTGGGGTGTGCATGGTGGCCGCTGGCAGGTGCAGACGTGTGCTGGGGGCCGCCCCGCCCTGCGCCTCTCCTCTGCTTTCCCAGAGCCTGCATCCACTCTCCTCCACTCAGCCGCTGCTCCCCACGAAGGGCAGAGGCTCTTCCAAAACTCTCTGTGAGGGCTCAGGGAAAATGTCCGAGATCTGAATAGCTACGTTCACTTGGGCCTTGTGAACCTGTATCACGGGTTGCCGTGGACGCAGGGACCTGTATCACGGTTGCTGTTTCCTGTGAGCCTTTGCCTGCGAGCACGCAGAGCCGGGGGCGGTCTGGGGGCTCCCCACAGCCTCGGCAGGCCTTCCCGCCCTAGGCTTGCCGCCTCCCTACATGGCCAACACGGCCATGAGGCCGTGTCACAGCTGGCGATGGGGTGGTGCTCCTTCGTGTCATAGATGCCTGTGGTCAGCCCTGCCTATCAGTCTTCCGCTGACCCGGATCCCGGGGTCCCCACACGCACTTGGCCCCCGCGAGCCTCATTGCCTCTCTTCTGCTCTGGCCCAAGTGCCAACACTTGCATTCTGTTTCCTTTGCTCGGGTTCAGTGGGCGGGGCGCCAGGAAAGCAGTGCATTGCCAGTGTGGGAGCCGGGGCTGTTTCCTGGGAGACGGAGGAGCGGGAACCTGTTGGCTGCCGCGGATCCCGAGGCCACCATGAGAATAGCTGGGTCTGGGTCCGTCCTTGCCTGCTCACTCCTGCGGACATGTCAGAGCCATATGCAGTGGCTCTCCTGGACACCAGGCCCTTCAAGGAACAGACCAAGTAGTGCCCTGATTCTCCACTGCCCCCCACAGCGGAGCCCTCACCGAGGGGCTCAGCACCTAGTTGCTGGGTGCTTGCTGCCGGTCAGGCCGCGCCCACGAGCCCTGCTGGGGAATGTTTTGGAGAGAGGGCCACACTTGGGCTTCCGTAGGTTTGGGGAGTGAACTGTGAGGAACTCGGCCACTGGCTGGGAGTGAGGGGCGACAGGGCAGGGTTTGCAGCTGCGGGGGCAGTGGGGAGGGTGGCAAGGTGGCATTCCCAGACTCATGGCGGAGGGGGGGGGAGGGTGTCTGATGAGAGAGGAGATGGAGAGTTGGGAGAGAGGAGGGCTGTTGGATAGTTCTGGAATAGTTCCCTCCCAGCCCAACTAGACTTAAAGAAACAAACGTTCTGAACATTGATACGGGCTCTTTGATCCCTCTGGCTGTGAAGGCAAGTAGGCAGTGTGCTGTGAGGCTCTGCACTGCTGGGGGAGGGGAGGGGACTAGCACAACCTGTGTCAGGCCGAGCCAGCCACCCTGCCCTACCTGCACCCAAGGCAGAGGGCCCGGGTGGCGAGTCAATTCTGTGAGCAAGAGGCTTTCTCAGAGAGGTTGTCATTGGTCCAGCATCACACAGCTAGTTGATGAGGTCCAAACTGTGTCTCCTTTATTCCACTTGGAAGTGTAAAGCAGGTGTTCTGGAGCCTTCCAGGAAAGCCTCTCCCACATAAGCACTCATGTTCTAATTCATGAGGCCAGTCCTCTGCACGGGTGTTTAACCCCCCCCCCCCCAATGAGTATCATATCATGTTTATGTCTGCAGTGACATGATGGCTACAGACAGTGCGCACATACGAAGATAATGCACATTTGCATAACACAGGCATGCCTGCACTTTGCTTCTTGTTTGTGGTGTTAGGGATGGAGCCAGGGCCCAGCAAGGTACACACATTTTCTACCACGGAGCTGCACTACAGCTCTGCTTCTGAACGTTCAAACTTTTCAGCCCTCCCTTCATCCAGTGGAAGGTAACCCAGCCGCAGGGCCAGTCCTGAGCTCCCTTATAGAAGCATGTCTTGTTACCCAGGTTCAGTGTAAGAATGTTCAGATGGAGAAAGTCAGCACCGATGATTTGTCTCCGGTTCTTCTGAACCCATGCACTGCACTGCAACTTTAACTTCCTATGTAGAGCCTGCTCGTAACACTTGGCTGTGACTTGAGCTTTAGCTTTGCCACCTAGGCACTTTGCAGAGGGTGTGATTGCGCTCACAGGATGCCTGTAATGCAGGGGCCCTCACCCCAGGATACTTCAGTGCAGTCCTGAATGGGAGCTGTTGTTTAATTATGCAAAGACTTCTAACTCTGCACAGTACTCCCCTCATAAAAAAAGAGATTGCCTTTCTCAAAGTTCCTTGGGATTTTAATAGCAAACTATTTTTTCAGTGCTTGCTTCTCGTTGGGTTTGAGTATAATGTTTCTTTGTAACTGGTTTATGAACTGGAATACTAAACCATTCTTTCCCATCAGCCACACAAATAGGACCAAAATCACAAAAAAGTACTAAATATTTTCTTTTCTCTGATCGTGTCATGAAAAATAGTACAGCCTCTAGCTTTAATTGGATTTTTCTGACATTTATTTGTTTTTATTGCTGTGCTACTGAGCAGACTCAGGGCCTCCAGTGCGCAGGGCCTGCCTGCTCCTCTGAGCTCCTCCCGCCCTCTGCAGCTGAGGGTAAGGGAGGGAGCTGTTGTTATGGTGTGTGGTGGGTGCTTCATCCAGCTTCTAGAAGGCATCTTTCCTTTATCTGCACAGCCTGGCCTTTGCCTGGGACTTCGCTGAGACAGGTTGTAGTTACGAATTACATGATCTCAGGTATTCTATAACCCCACACTTAGCGCTTGTAGGAGTGAGGAAGTGATGAGCATCCTCCGGCGAGGCCTGGGGAGCAGGCTCTGCGGCTCAGGACCTTGAAGCTCCCATAGTCTTACAGTTTATGACAAACTAAAAGCATGTCTGTTAATATTTGTACTTTGCATTTGCTTTAAGTTTGTTTTGACTGTGGATTTCTCTTTTTAAACCATAGAAAAGAGATTCATTTAAGCTCTTTGCATGTTGTTTCTTTAGTGCGTGTGCCAGTACTGGGGCTTAAACTTGGGATCTGGGTGTTGTCCTGAGCTTTTGTGCTCAAGACTAATGCTCTACCACTTGAACCATAGTTCCATTCCTGGCTTTTTTGGATAGTTGACTGGAGATGAGAGTCTCATAAACTTTCCTGCCCAGGCTAGCTTTGAAACATGTCCTCAGATCTCGGCCTCCTGAGTAGCTAGGATTATAGGCATGAGCCACCAGTGCCTGCTTAATCTCCCTCTCCGCCTCTCCTGCCCCTTCCCCCCTTCCTTCCCCCTCTTTCCTCACTCCTTCTCTCCCTTCCCTCCTCCCTTCTTCTCTTCCTCTTCTTATCCTCTTTCTCCTCTGTCTTCTTTCTTTTTTCCTATTTGACTCCTAGGGCTTGAACTTGGGGTCTGGTACTGCCCATGAACTCCTTTTGCTCAAAGCTAGCACTCTACCACTTGAGCCACCACTTCACTTCTGGCTTTTTTGGTAATTTATTGGAGATAAACTTCCCAGGCTGACTGTAAACCGCACCGCGTTCTTCAGATCTCAGCCTCCCGAATTGCTAGGATTCCAGGTGTGAGCCACTGGTGCCCAGGTACCCAGCTAATCTGTCTTTTTCTTTTCTTTTTAGCCTGTCCTGGGGCTTGAACTCTGAGCCTGGGTGCTGAGCTTCTTTGGCTTAAGGCTAGCACCTTACCACGTAAGCCATAGTGCCACTTCTAGCTTTTTCTGAGTAGTTTATTGGAGAGAAGAGTCTTATGGAGTTTCCTTCCCAGTCTGGCTTCAATCCACGAGCCTCAGATCTCAGCATCCTGAGTCGCCCGAAGTCTAGGCATGAGCCACTGGTGCCTAGCTAATGCTGCTTTTTCTTTTTTTTTTTTTCCAGTCCTGGGGCTTGAACTCAGGGCCTGATCTATGTCTTTGAGCCTCTCTGTGCTAAAGGCTAGAGCTTGAGCCACAGCACCACTTCCAGCTTTTTCTGCTTATGTGGTACTGAGGAATCAAACCCAGGGCCTCATGCATGCAAGGCAAGCACTCTACCACTGAGCCATCTTCCCAGCCCCTAATGATTTTTTTAAAGTTACTGTTTCCTGTGTGTTTTTTCCATGTCCATTAGGCATATCCAGTGGTTATACAGTTTTAGCAGTTTAAACAATTGTTCATGAAAGAATTCAAGGCTTCTAAAAGGATTTGAAAACTAACATTCAGAGAAGAAAAGGTCTGTGCCTTTTTTTTTGTTGGTTGTGGGGCTTGAACTCTGGGCAGCTGTCCCTCGTCTCTTCAGCTCAAGGCTAGCACTGTACTACTTTGAGCCATAGCACCACTTTTGGTTTTCTGGTGGCTAATTGGAGATAGGAGTCTCATGGATTTTCCTGCCCAGGCTGGCTTTGAACTGCGATCCTCAGATCTCAGCCTCCTGAGTAGCCACTGACGCCTCGTATGGTCTGTGACTTCTTGCAGGACTGAATTTGGGTGAGAAAGTTTGAATTGTACCAAAATAGGCATAACATTTTTAGTTTTTTATATCATAGCCAACAGGAAATTAAAATTTTTTAAAGTTATCTTATTTTTTTTACATTTCTTTAGCCCTTTTTGCTTTTAATTACTTTTTGGACAGAACCTCCTCCTTTTTTTTTTTTTTTTTTGCCAGGGCTAATCTCAGACCAAGGTCCTCCAACTTGTGCCTCCCGTGTAGGTGGGGCTACAGGTGTATACCACTGCACCTGGCTAAGGAGTCCAGTTTTTTTTTAAAGTTGAATTTAAAATACATTGAGTATGTATTCAGAACGGTGCATGAAAGGGCGTGTTCCGCCGCCGCTGGTCTGAGGGCCTCAGGGTGTGAAGGAAGGGCCTGCCCGCAGGGCTGCTGTGCGGGGGGCAGGGTGGCATGCAGGCAGTGAGCAGGACGTGCCGCCCTGGGGAGCCAGCGCACCTGCTGCATTGCTGCTGTGACTCTCAGGCGGACAGAGAATGTCCCGCCTCTTATTTAGTGTACTGGGAAGATGGAGAATCCCTGGAGTATGTTATATTGAGGATGAGATGCTTACAGTGGTCACCTTATTCCCTAATAAATCCAGCAGCATGTGACACACAGGTAGGAACCTTGGACTTTGAGATCTTGACCTTTGCCCTCCTTTCCCTCATCTTACCTTGGTCCTTGTCCTGCGATCCTTGGACCACTCTCCAGATAGGACCCGTGCAGTACCGTAGTAGATGGAGCACACTAAAGGCCACTAAGCCTGAGCGAAAGGGCCCCTTGGGCAGGTATTGGGCTAGGGTGGTGAGAAGGGCCAGCAGATGGTGCCTCGTGAACCCGGGTTCTCTGGAGCTGTCCTGAGGACTCTTTGGGGCTTGGAGCTGGGGCAGAACGGGGTGGGGTTGTGCTGTAGGCAGGCCCGCTGGCCCGTGTGCAGGGGAGGCAGGGGGCGGTGGCGCTGTTGGGGAGGCTGTGGTGGTGGTCACCTTCCCCTGGGATGGGGAGCAGGCTGATGCCACGCTTTTTGTAAAGGACTTGCCAGGGCCAACCTCGCGCTGCCGTGCAGCAACGCCAAGTGTCTCTTTTCTGGCTACAGGTCACATGGAGCGGTGTCTGGAACAGAAAGCTGAATTCCAAGGTAGCCCGAGGCCGTGCAGTTGAGGGAGTTAGGTCTGCGCGGGTAACTGACTGAGAGCTCTCAACCACTCATTGGGTTAGGCACATTGCTCTTCAGGATTCTTGTGGGTGTTCAGTCTGGATTAGATTGATTGTTTTCTTGGTGAGAAAACGCATACAGCTCTTTTTTTTTTTTTTTTTTTTAAATGTAATACTCAGCCAGGCGCTGGTGGCTCATGCCTGTAATCCTAGCTACTTAGGGGCTGAGATCTGAGGATTGTGGTTCAAAGGCAGCCTGGGGGGCTGGGAAGATGGCTCAGTGGTAGAGCGCTTGCTTTGCATGCATGAGGCCCTGGGTTCGATTCCTCAGCACCCTATAAGCAGAAAAAAGCCAGAAGTGGTTCTGTGGCTCAAGTGGTAGGGCGCTAGCCTTGAGCTGAAGAGCTGAGGGACAGCGCCCAGGCTGAGTTCAGGGCCCATGGCCGACAAAAAACAACAACAACAACAGAGCAACAAAAAAAAGGCAGCTTGGGCAGGAAAGTCGGTCCACGAGATTCGTATCTCCAGTAAACTACCCAGAAAAATCTGGAAGTGGCATTGTGGCCCAAGTGGTAGTTCCTTGAGTAAAATGCAGCTTGGGGACAGAGCCCAGGCCCTGAGTTCAAGCCCCAGGACCGGCCCAAACAACAACAATAACAAAAACCCAACAAAACCCCCAAACACAACCCCTCCCCCAATGTGAAAATAAAACTTTTTTGCACTAATGCTGCAATTGGCAACATAGAAAGGTCCAACCCCAATGTGTCTAAGCGACATGTAGAGTCGAGGACTTATACCCATGTTACCTTTAAAAAATCACCCAGAAGTTGAGGTTTGGAGTCAGGACCCCTCCAGCCCTTGAAATTGGCAGTGACTGGTGCTGGCTTCGGTACAGAGCTACCTTCTGGTATATCTTAGCAGTGGGAACGGTGAGCAGCGCCCTGCTCTGCTAGCCCCAGGGTGCGTGCGTGGGTTGATAACCATGTGTTTCCATTGCATTTTGTCTTTCAGACATTATAAGAAGCGGTGCCAGGGGCGCATGCGCAAGCATGTGGGGGACTTGTGTCTTCAGGCCGGAATGCTGCAGGACTCCCTGGTGCATTACCACATGGCCGTGGAACTTCTCCGCTCCGTGAATGACTTTCTGTGGCTTGGGGGTAAGGCTGTGTGATGGCGGGGTCCCATAAAATAGTGCTCTGGTCTGTCCTCGTGGCTGGGGATATGGCTGCTCTGTCCTTGTTTCAACTGTTGGTTAGAATCAGAGGAAACAGTAAAAGGGTCTGGCAGGAAGGGCAGGAAGGACTAGCAGCCAGCCTGTGCTGGTTGCCACGAGGGTTTGCGGCGGTCCTGGACCTTCTCCGCTGCCCCCTCCAGCCGCCCGAGCCGTGTCCTGGGAAGGAGGCTCAAGCTTCCTCCCGCCTGCTCTTAGCGCGGAGCTCTGTGTGGCCACCATTATCATCACCTCCATCTCCCACCCCGCATGCCTCGACGGGGAATACACGGAGGGTGGTTATGTTCAGCCAAAAGTTGAATAACATACAGCAGTCACTGCAACACAGCTGGACGTTGGAAGCGAAGTGTTAAGGCCACATGTGGTGGGATTCCATGGATAGGAAATGTCCAGGGGCGGGAAGGTGGCTCAGTGGTAAAGCGCTTGCCTAGCACGCATGAAGCCCTGGGTTTCATTCCCTCAGTACCACATACACAGAAAAAGCCAGAAGTGGTGCTATGGCTCAAGTGGTAGAAGGCTAGCTTGAGCAAAAGAATGTTAGGGACAGTGCCTAGGCCCTGAGTTCAAGCCCCAGGACTGGAAAAAAAAGCAAAAAAGAAATGTCCAGGGTCGCAAGCCCACTGAAGAAGATGGCGGATGAGTGTTGCCCGGGGATGGGGGAAAGCGTGCGGAGGGACTGATGACGGGGGCAGCAGGTTTTGGGGATACGGGCTATGGGATGTGTTCTGGCAGCAGGCGGTGGTCATGTTGTCATAGTGAAATATGGAAAACTGAGTTGCACCATGTGGGCAGCTTCTTACTGTACGTGAACCACCTCAGTTTTAAAGACTGAAAGGAAAAAGAGCAGGAAGTCCATCTGGAAGAGCCGCTTTCTCTTGCCCTGGCGGGCCGCAGAGCCGGGTGCTGTGGGAGGAGCGCGGCGACGGCCGGGCGGCTGCGGGCGGCTGCGGCGACGGCCGGGCGGCTGCGCCCTATCCCCTTACAGAGGAGTCACCTGGGGGGAGGGGCCAGTGTGAACGGGGCATGTCCCCCATCCAGTGTGTTTTGGGGGGGCTCCCATAATTCCTGCAGATAGATGTTTGTAGCGGCTAAACTAGGGCTCTGTCTTGAGGGTGACTGTTGAGGGTGCCTGCTGTCAGCCGCTTAGAATAAAATGTCACAGTGAAGTAATGAAGTAAGTTCTTTTATAGAAACTGAGTGGAGAACACCTTTAGTATCAGACGGGCTTGATGGCCTCACGTAATTCCATAGTTTGGCTTCTTAAAGAGGTGGAGAAATACAAGAGGGGAAGAAGGTGAGGCCTGGAATAGTGGGATGGAAAGCGGGGCCGACTAAGGGCTCACTGTGTTTGTGGGGCTTTGCTGAGGTTGCTGGCTCGAGCCTCTCCAGCACACATAAGGTGAGGGTGGGCAGCCGGCGCTGCTGGCACGGGGAATGTGCTCGCCTGTTGCTCCCTGCACCGAGTTGCTCCGGATGGAGAGGCCCTGGCTGGGGAGGAGCCTGCCTCCTTCCACACCTGCTCTGCGGGTCGCCAGGAGTTAGTTGTCCAGGAGCATTAGGTCTGGTGTAGGACGGCCGGATGTAGAAGTCACTGGGAGAATCAAGCAGTCTGTGGCAAATCAGAACCAAAGAAACGTGTGCACACGTGAGCCTGCCCTTCTTCCTCTGTGCGATTTTGTTTGGGAGAACACTTATTTTCCATAAAAAATGGTAACTTATTACTATGAAGGAATGAGTACATACATCTCCAAAGAGATGTAAAAAGAGAATGTTGGCAATCTCAGTTTTATTTTCCACCTTGGAAAATCTCTGCAGTGGGAACTATGTTTACAGCAAGGTTTCTGTGTTTTTTGTTTTTAAATTAAAATATTAAAAATTTCTTTTTTGTTCATGGGGCTTGAACTCTGGGCCTGGGCGCTGTTCCTCAGCTCTTCAGCTCAAGGCTAGCGCTCTACCACTTGAGCCCCAGCACCACTTCCTGCTTTTTCTGCGTATGTGGTGCTCAGGAATTGAACCCAGGGCCTCATGCATGCAAGACAAGCACTCTACCACTGAGCCACCTTCCCAGCCCAGTTTCTGTGGTTTTTAGTAACTTTTAAGCACATCAAGCAGTTTTGGAGTCAAAAGTTCCTTGAGTTTTCTCAAGTTTCTATGTATAGCAAAACTTTAGGTTTGATGTTTTGTTGGGGAAATTGGCTTTCCCAAATGAGCCAGGTGTTAGAACCATTCTTAGCCTCTGCAGTTAGAGTAAGTCAGCTAGAACACTGACTGATGGATGGTGTCCTTTCTCATGACAGCTGCCTTGGAAGGGCTGTGTTCTGCTTCTGTCATCTACCACTACCCCGGGGGCACTGGCGGGAAGACGGGGGCTCTGAGGCTCCCTGGAAGCTCACTTCCTTCAGAAGCAGCCAACAGACACCGGCCAGGTGGGTGCTTTTCTTCCAGCCTCAGCTCACTGGTAGTTTGTAAAATAAGCAAGAGTTCGTTGCTTTGTCTCCGGAGTTAGGCTGGACCAGTGCCGACATAGAGTGTAAGCTGTTGACTCAGAAATCTTGCACGTAAGATGCTTTCTTCCTAAATACTTCTAGGTCTTAGCTCACCGCTACCAGTCGACTTCTGGAACCTGTGAATGAAATCCCATGGTGGGGACTTGCGGGTCTGCCTGGGCCTTTTCCGTCATTCCTAGGTATTGAGTGAAGCTAGTCCCAGAATCATATTTTTTTCTTTTTTGCTTTCTTGCTTTCCTTCCTTCCTTCCTTTCTTTCTTTTTTTCTCCGTGTGTGTGTGTGTGTGTGTGTGTGTGTGTGTGTATACACGTGTACATGTGCATGCAAGTGTGCCAGTTCTGGGGCTTGAACTAGGGCCTGGGTGTTGTCTGTAAGCTTTTGTGCTCAAGGCTCAAGCTCAACCTCTTGAGCCACAGCTCTACTTCCTGCTTTTTGGTGGTTAGTTGAAGATAAGAGTCTCATGAACTCTCCTGCCCTAAACTGTGATCCTCAGATGTCAGCCTCCTGAGAAGTACAGATGGGAGCAGCCAGCACCTGACTCCAGAATCAGTTTTAATACCTAGCTCGGTAGTTAGGCTACTTCTTGTTTTCTTGGTTGGTGAGGTTCTAATGACTTAAGCTTGATTAGCACCAAGGAAGAGGAGGAACAGACCCACAAATGCTGAGTGAATCCGAACTTGGACCTTTCATGAACGCACTTGCCTTTAATGGTCGTGATGGTAATGAATGAGGCCTGACTCAAGGCCAGCACGGAAGCTGCTAGATATTTTTTGGTCTCTGAGAGGTTTTGAGTATCCTGAAGGAGCAAACTGTGTTCCCTTCCCCCCAAAGAGAAAAGAGTAGTTAATGTTGGATGGGGGAGCCAAGCTGAATTTCTTCTTCCATGACTCTCCACCTGCCCCCCCCCCCCCCCCCCCCCCCCCCCCCCCCCCCCCCCCCCGCCCGCCAGCTCCTCTGTGGGAACCAAGTTCCATAGCAGACCTTCCGATTCCAGGCATGCTGTGTGGGGGCTGCTTAGACAACGCCATGATGGTTCTTCAGTCTATTTTACTGTTTTTGGTTTTGTTTTCTTTTGGTTGGTCATGGGGCCTGAACTCTGGGACTAGGCACTGCCCTTCAGCTCAAGGCTCAAGGCTAGCGCTCTACCATTTGCCACAGCCCCACTTCCGGCTTTTTCTGCTTATGTGGTGCTGAGGAATGGAACCCAGGGCCTCATGCATGCAAGGCAAGCACTCTACCACTGAGCCACCTTCCCAGCCCTGGGTTGTTTCTCTTAAGAGATGTCCTCTCTTCTCCCAGCAGTTCTTGCTGAGGGTTTGCTAATGTGTTAACTGTCTTGCTGATATGATTAGCAAGACTAGAAACTTCTTAGGGTAATGTTTCATTTTTTTTTCCCCTTGATAAACATAGGCAAAGGAAGTTTAAGGGAGGACTTTTTGTGGAGTACAGAAGAATCCTTATTTAGCTTTTACTGTTGAGGGAGGCTGTGGGGGAAATACTCAGTGATGTCTGCGTGGCAGTTGGGGGAGAGGAAGCGGCTCCACTCCTGTGGAAGCTGTGGAGAGTCACCTACCTCAGGCGGGAGCTCAGGCGGAGTTCCAGAGCATGCAGTAATTGCACAGGGGGGAAGGTTCCATTTCCCTTAGGGTTTACTCTCAAGGTCTGGCAGTTGTAGTGGCAGCCTCATGCATGCAGGAGACACTGAGGCTAGTTCACCAGCATTCTCCTTGTAGTTCACAGACAGAGTATCTCCGGTCCCATGGCACTGCCCGGTGGCAGTGTCAGCATCAGCATGAGCTGGAGCAAGCTGCTTACTCTTTCTTTTTTTTTGTTTTGGTCGGTCGTGGGGCTTGAACTCTGGACCTGGGTGCTCTGAGCTCTTCAGCTGAAGGCGAGTGCTCTACCACTTACTTGAGCCACAGCACCACTTCCGGTTTTCTGGTGGTTAATTAGAGACAAGAGTCTCACGGACTTTCCTGCCCCGGCTCACTTTGAACCACGATCCTCAGATCTCAGCCTCATGAGTAGCGAGGATTATAGGCATGAACCGTCGGCGCCAGGCTAAGTTGCTTACTCTTTGTGCCTCAGTTTCCTTGTCTGTAAAATGGGGCAATGGCAGCTCCCATACAGAGAGTAGGTGTTGGCACTTGGTGCTGGCGGCTGTGATGAGTGTTGTTTCTACAGTTGAGCGTCACAGTCGTGTAAGTTCAGGAGCACTGGTCAAAGACTGTACAATGCACACTCAGATCGTGTAGCTTTTAAACACATGTCCTCTGAGAAAAGTAAGGTTTCCTTATTAAATTGGAGTTATCCTAGGTTTTGAAAAAGAATGCTGTCTCTTTTTCCTTTAATTCTAGTTTTTAAGTTGTGTTTGAAACTTCACTGCCTTGGTATTGAAAGATTAGGGCTCCAAATTCTATTTTTTTGTCAGTGGTGGGGCTTGAACTCTGGTCCTGGGAGCTGTCCCTCAGCTCTTCAGTTCAAGGCTAGCGCTCTACCACTTGAGCCTCAGCACCACTTCCGGCTTTTTCTGCTATGTGGTGCTGAGGAATCAAACCCAGAGCCTCATGCATGCCAGGCAAGCGCTCTACCTTTGAGCCACCTTCCCAGCCCTACAAATTCTTTCTTCTGAGGTTTATATGCAAACCTGTAAGTCTGTGATTAATGGATAAAACTTCATTTTATTCAGAAATTATTGGTTCTATGGTAGAGCCAGGCATGTACAAAGTTATGAGTTCAGTCTCACACCAAATTAAAAGTTATTTGGGCATTTTTTTCAATAAATCTACAGAAAATTGCTCATCATTGACTTGTGTTTCCTTTTTTTTTTTTTTTTACTTTCCCTTTGGCACTAGGGTTTGAACTTTGAACTCAAGGCCTTCCCCAACCCTTTTTGCTTTAGTTATTTTTGAGATAAGATCTCCTGTTTTGCCTGGGCCAGCCAGAGCTGCATTCTTCTCACTTAGACCTCCTGAGTAGCTAGGACCACAGAGGTACCCAACCGTGCCTGGCTAGGTGGCATATTAGGTGGGGTCTTTTTGCCAGAATTGGCTTCGAGTAGCTGGGATTATAGGTGTAAACCATATACCTAGCTTTTTTTTTTTTGTGCCCATCCTAGGGCTTAACTCAGGACATTGCCTGAGATTTTGTGCTCAAGGCTAGCACTCTATCACTTGAGCCACAGTTCTACTTCTGGCTTTTTTGGTCGTTAGTTGGATATAAGAGTCTCATCTCTTCTGACCAGGCTGGCTTCAAATTGTGATCCTTAAATCTCAGCCCCTTGATGGGCTGGGAAGATGGCTCAGTGGTAGAGCGCTTGCCTTGCATGCCTGAGGCCCTGGGTTCGACTCCTCAGCACCACATAAGCAAAAAGAAAAAAGCCGGAGGTGGTGCTGTGGCGCAAGTGGTAGAGCGCTAGCCTTGAGCTGAAGAGCTGAGGGACAGCGCCCAGGCCCAGAGTTCAGGCCCTACGACCAGACCCCCCCCCAAAAAAAAAAATCTCAGCCCCTTGAGTAGGTAGGATTATGGGTGTGAGCCACTGGTGCTTGGCTAACTTTTGAACTACATGTCTCAGCCTCCTGGGAACTGGGATTACAGCGCTAGCTACCTCATCTGATTAATAAATGCTTCTTGATGGTTATCTCTCTTTTCCGTCCATTTGAACCCTGTAATACTAGTCATCATTACCGAAATCACTTAGCAGGGCTGGGTGTGGCTTGGTGTTTACCATTCATCATGAGCACTGTTCATCTTTCCGGGAGACCTGTTCTGTCCCTGCACTGGGGATGAAAACAATGGGTTGCCTAGCTGGAGCCCCTCAGGCCGGAGGCTTCGCATTAGTGCTTTACTTTGGTCCCTTTGTGGCCAGCGTTTGTGGGTAGGAACCAAGTCTTCTTTTGCAAGTAAGGAGACTGAGGCCAGGTGACTGCCCTAAACCACTGGCGTGAGTGCAAGGCTAGGATATGAGCATGAGCTGGCCTGACTTCACAAGAAGAGGGTCGGTGAGCATGAGACAGTGGTGGCAGTTAGAGTCCTTACAGCCTTCCACTAGTGCGCTTTACTCACAAGTGAAGACGGAACGTTTTTTATGTTTTTTTTTTTTTGCTAGTTCAGGGGCTTGAATTTAGGGCCTGGACATTGTCCCTGAGCTTTTTTTGCTCAACGCTAGCACTTTACCACTTAAGCTACAGTGCCACTTTCAGCTTTTTCTGTATATGTGGTGCTGAGGAATCCGACCCAGGGTTTCATGCATGCTAGGCAAGCACTCTACCACTGAGCCATCTTCCCAGCCCTTCTGTTCTTCACTTTGGAAGCATAAAACCAGCACATAAAGAATGATGCCAGTGCAAAAATTAAGTGACTTTTAAGCTGGTGCTGCTGCCTGTCATCCTATCTACTCAGGAGATCGAGAGCTGAGGGTTGACGTTCAAAGCCATTCTGGGCAGGAAACTCTGGAACACTTTATCTTTAGTAAGACGCTAGACGGGAAGCTGTGGCACAAGTGGAAGGCCAGCCTTGAACAAAGAGTTAAGGGGCGGTGCCCTTAAAAACAAAAACAACAACAGAAAAGCAAAGGAAGAAGTGACTTCTAAATCTAGCTATTGTTAATGATTATTGATTATTTTCCTTTTCTAGAGTTGGTTGTTAGGAGAAGTTATAAAGCCCAAGTTGGTGTTATATAGTCCTTAGTATACATAAAGGCTACTTTAAGTTAGAGACTTAGCCCGCTTTTTATGGCCTAAATATATTTCCTCATCCATGAACTTAGGCCAGTGTCACTTCTTTTGTATGGTGTGGGATACCTATGCTCACACACATGTATACATATGTGTACACACGCGTATATATAGATATATAAACATATACATAACTCATCAAAGTTAAATGCGATAGCAGTAGATTGGTGAGGAAGATCAGCTTTAAATAATGAAGCTGGTGGCTATTTCTGATGCATAGTAAATACTCATAAATGTGATACTTACAAGTATGGTTTGGAGTAAAAAAATGCCATTTTCTTTTTCTTCTTTCTCTTTTTGAGACAGGAATCTCACCAGACAGTTCAGGACGACTTAGAACTTGTGACCCTCCTGCCTCAGTTTTCTTTTCTCCTGATGCTGCCATGCTTGCTCAGATTTTCATTTTGGTTTTGTTTTTGTGTTAGTCCTGGCACTTGAACTGAGGGCCTGGATGCTGTCCCTGAGCTTTTTTGCTCAAGGCTAGCACTTTACCACTTGAGCCACGCTCCACTTCTGGCTTTTTTTCGATAGTTAATTGGAGATAAGAGTCTCATAGACTTTCTTGTTTGGGCTAGCTTTGAACCATGATCTTCAGATCTCAGTCTCCTGAGTAGCTCGGATTACAGGCATGAGCAGGTTTTCTTTTCAATGTGTAATGGACCTTGAAATAAATCAGTGTCACTGATAAGATGAGGAGCAGCTAAATTTCCTTGGTTTGAGGAACTTGTTAGGTTATTTTCACAGAATATATATTTTTACAACTCCGAATTCCTGTTGTTCCATAATCATCTACTGAAACCTTTAAATTACTAAACATTTGCTATTCAGAAGTTGACCTTAGCCACTGAGCTTAGACAATTTGATGTTGAGCTATTTTCCGGGAAGAAGCTTATTCCTGCACTGGTGGAAGAGGTCTGTACGCCCCGTACCTGGGTAAAGAGGTGGAAGTGTGGCTCGGCGCCTGCCACTTCCCTTATGGTGGGGAACAGCAGGTTCTGTCACTGACCAGGTCATGGTGTTTTAGTCTGGGCATGCGTGCTGTGAGACTCACGGCCTATAACTTTTGGGAAGCTTTGCAGATGTGGCTTTATGATTGCGGACTGTCTGTGAGCAGTTGCCTTTGGTACAGAGCAAAATACAAAGGTGAAAAAAGCTTTGTGGCAGACTGCTAGAGTCTCAGCCTCTCTGGTATAAAAGGAAGGGGCTGGGCCAGTTTGAGAGTCCTGCTCTTGCCAGGCATGGTAGCTCATGCCTGTAATCCTAGCTACTTAGGAAGCTGAGATCTGAGGATTGCTGTTCAAAGCCAGCCCAGGGGCTGGGAAGGTGGCTCAGTGGTAGAGTGCTTGCCTCGTATGCATCAGGACCTGGGTTCGATTCCTCAGCACATTAGCAGAAAAAACAGGAAATGGTGCTATGGCTCAAGTGGTAGAGCACTAGCCGAGAGCTGCAGAGCTGAGGGACAGCGCCCAGGCCCAGCATTTAGGCCCCACGACCAACAAGAGTGGGGCGGGGGGGAGAGAGAGAAAGAGAGAGAGAGAGAATGTCTTGCTCTTGGACTAGTTTCTGTGAGCCTGTCTGTTTTGTTTATATTCAGCATGTTATACTTTTTAGATTAATTACCAAACCCCTGCCTTCTTTCCTGAAGCAGAATTGAGTTCGTGCTAGCTAGGCTTTAGTTGCCGTCTCTGAACATGCCATTTGAAAAGCCTGCTCATTTGAACTGGTTGCACAGCAGCCTGGGAAGGCGTTCAGGGAGCCTGCCATAGGTGGCACTGTTGCACCTGGTTTTCCTGTTTGTGAAAGACTTCGTTTCTTTAATTTGATTTCTTCATTTAATGCTTCATAATAGCATGGTTTCCATTATATCTGGGTACTTGGAAAAAGTTATATCTTATTTTTGTTCTGTTATCTCAACATGAGAATTTTAGGAGTGCCAAGAGAGCAGTGGGGAGATTGGTTTCTCTAGCAATATTAGAAGGCAGCCATGATTGTGCAAGAGAAGGAGAAGTCATCTCTGCTGTCCTTAAAGTGGAAAAGACTGTTGAGCTCCTGAGCTTTGATCCTCTTTCGTGGCTTATTAGTGGGGGCCATTTGGTATCATGGGGAGCTGAGTTTTTCAAGTTTAGCTGGGGTGTTTGAGTGCGATGCTGCTCTGAGCTGCGGCTCCCACGCAGCCTTTCTTGGAGGTGGAATGGGGCTGCTTTTGCAGTTGTGGGGCCTGGAGCAAGTGTGTCTTGTGTTTTCTTTTTTTCTTTCCTTCTTTCTTTCTTTTTTATTTTTTGTCAGTCATGGGCCTGAACTCTGGGCCTGGGGGCTGTTCCTCAGCTCTTCAGCTCAAGGTTAGTGCTCTACCACTTGAGCCATAGTGCCACTTTCAGCTTTATGTGGTGCTGAGGAATCGAACCCAGGGCCTCATGCATGCAAGGCAAGCACTCTACCACTGAGCCACCTTCCCAGCCTGTGTCTTGTGTTTTCTATAACGGCCATTTCCTTAATTGGCTTTTTAATTTTTTGTGCTGGTCCTGGGGCTTGAACTCATGGCCTGGGTGTTATCTTTGAGCTTGCTTCATTTTGCTTATGGCTGGTGCTCTACCACTTGAACCACAGCTCTGCCCTCAGCTTTTTTGGTGACTAATTAGAGATAAGAGTCTCACAGGTTTTCCAGCCTGGGCTGGCTTTAAAATGTGATTCTCAGATCTCAGCCTCCTGGGTAGCTAGGATTACAGGCATGAGCCACTGGTACCTGGCTGTTTTGTTATTTTTATTGTGACTTTCAGAGTATAGTGATTTTTATTCTGTATTTAAAAATAGAGATTACTGCACATAAGACAGCTCTTACCATAAACATATCAGTATAATAATCATGGGGCTTGTTCTTTGTATAGAAAACTCTTACTAAGGGTACATCTTATTGGGATATACCTTTTTGTTAAAACGTGAAAAAGAATGATAGCTAATGATAAATGTTATTCTTGGAAAGGGATGACAGGAAATTTCATTCTGCACAGAAGATTGATTGGCTATCACTGATATTTGGGTAATTTGGTAGATGATGAGGGCTTTGACAAGCTTCTTGATAATAGCAAAGTTAATTGCTTATATTTGAAACTAACTACAAAGCTACCTTCTAAATATTGGATATTCTGAGCTTGATGAAGCTTTCAGTGATTGTGTGTGTGTATGTGTGGATGTATGTATGTGTATGTGCATGTGTGTGTGTGTGTGAGAGAGAGAGAAAGAAATGGAGACTGAATGTGATTTTAGGGAGAGGTGGTAAATTGGATATTGTTTTCTGGTACCTTTTCTTTCCTCATTCCAGGGTCCTGATACGGATTTGCACAATATTCCTTTGTTTTGTCACTTGGCTTATTTGTAAATAAATCCTCTTCATTAAGAGGCGTTAGGAGCATGAGCTTCAAAGAGGGAGGGGGAAGAGATAAGGAGACGATTTGGAGTTTGCTTCCATTCCTGTTTTTCCCTCTGCAATATGAAAGCATTGTGCTTACAACACACTGTTATTCAGGGTTGCTTTTCTGATCAGATACAAGTGTCACAGATTTGTCAAGGGTATGTGAGTTGGGAAATGTGTTTTAGTCTTTATCTTGAGAAGCAGTTTTATTTTTCCAATAAAGGACCATGCTCTGTTCTTTCTTCCAGGAGCGCAAGAAGTCCTCATTGATCCAGGTACATGATCTACGTGCTCAGTTTCTTTTGGTTATTTTTTTTTTAAGTGCTTGTTTCATGGTGGTGTGAGTGATGGTTAAAATTTCTGGATTGTAATCTCTTGAACGTTCTGATTTAAGTGATTTTAAATCAGAACTTGTGGAAACCAACTATTGTGTGGTCCTTGTTGGTTGGGTGCCTATTGCTTCATGTTGCCTGTTGAAGAGGACTCCTGCACTCGCATGGTGATGTGAATGACTTGAAATCTCGGAATGCCCTGAGCATGTTTCCCCTCTGAGTCCGTTCACAGACCGGCTTGTGCTCCTTTCCACACAGATTGCAATTCCCTATGTGTCTCCCATATGTGTACTTAGAAGGGACAGAAATTCTGCATTTTTTTTTTTTTTTACAGAGGTGGATTTCGCTTTCCCCTCTTAACACCTTCTGTAATGAATACAGCAGAACCCTACTTTATCACAGTGCCTAGTTATTTCATGATGAGTTCAGTCATTTTCTGGTTTAATCAGAAACAACCAACCGAGTAAGTAATAGAAACACGACAAACACTTTGCTTTGAAGAATGCAAAGCAGACAGCAGTGCTTACATGGGCTTCGTGCATGAGATATTTGAGCTCACTTCATTGTGGAGTAGAGTAGCTTCAGGTTGGTCAACTCTCATGTTGGTATCTGTGTCCAGCTCCTCCTCCCTGGATAATGTTTAGATGGGGCTGTATGAAGTGTAGAGGAGGGGCATTGAGGCTTCCCTTTGCTTTTGGGAAACCGAGCTGCTAAGAGAAAACAACTTGAGAGTTTTTGGTGACTGAAAAGTAGATATTTCTGCCTGTACTCGTGAAAATAAGACCAAGAAACTGAGAGTGCTGATGCACTCGTGTAACCCCAGCGCTCAGGAAGCTGAGCCAGGAGGAGCTTTCTTTTTCTTCTTTTAAATACAGTTAAAAAGGTTAAATAAGGGCTGGGAAGGTGGCTCAGTGGTAGAGCGCTTGCCTTGCATGCATGAGGCCCTGGGTTCAATTCCCCAGCACCACATAAGCAAAAAGAAAAAAAGCCGGAAGTGGCGCTGTGGCTCAAGTGGTAGAGCGCTAGCCTTGAGCTGAAGAGCTGAGGAACAGCGCCCAGGTCCAGAGTTCAGGGCCCACGACCAGACCCCCCCAAAAAAAGAAAAGTTAAATAAATTTATTTTTTCAAAAATTAAATGTAGGGGCTGGGAAGGTGGCTCAGTGGTAGAGCGCTTGCCTTGCATGCATGGGGCCCTGGGTTCTATTCCTCAGCACCACATAAGCAGAAAAAGCCGGAAGTGGCAGGTACTGTGGCTCCAGTGGTAGAGCGCTAGCCTTGAGCTGAAGAGCTGAGGGACAGCGCCCAGGCCCAGAGTTCAGGCCCCACAACTGACACCCCCCCAAAAACAAAACATATATCCTACAAAAATGAGTGGGAATGTTGAAAGGAGTGATAGTGATCAAGAGATATTGTATTCCTAAACTGCTTTGCTAAATGTAAACTCCTGTGTACAAGTACTTGGTAATTAAGAAAAATAAAAAAATGAATTTTTATCATCTTCAAATAGTCATACAAAAGGATTTCAATCCAACATCTCAGTTTATGGGCACAGTCCATTTTGATCAGTGTCACTCTCCCCATATTCTCCCAACCCCACCTGTCTCCTCAAGTTTCCCAGTTCCATTTCTCACGGCTATTTTGAGTATCTGTCCACCATTCCTCCATTCCTCTGCCCCCACCCCCCCTAGATCCCACCCTCCTAGGACAAGATGTGCGTCCAGCTAGGATGAGGAAGTGCGGTGGCCCGGCCTGGTGCTGGCACTTCTTCTTTTTTTTTTTGGGGGGGGTCTGGTCGTGGGCCTTGAACTCTGGGCCTGGGCGCTGCCCCTCAGCTCTTCAGCTCAAGTCTAGCGCTCTACCACTTGAGCCACAGCGCCACTTCCGGCTTTTTTCTTTTTGCTTATGTGGTGCTGAGGAATCGAACCCAGGGCCTCATGCATACAAGGCAAGCGCTCTACCACTGAGCCACCTTCCCAGCCCTCTGCTGCTTCTTTTCAGAACAAATTGTTTCCTCAGTGGCTGCTGGAAGTTCTGCTTCTGAGCTCCTGATTTGCATTTTAAATGGAATGATTCTTTTCCCAAACTCTTTTTTTTCTTCCGGTTTCTGGGCATTTTGTGTACACTCCACGCACTTAATTCAATTAAAACAGTCCTTTGGCTAACTTCATTTGACTCCTAGTTGTTTTTTTTTTTTTTCCATTTTCATGTAGAGAGCAGTTTCTTCCAATAATAAAAGTAATCAATTTGTACTTGTAAGGAGGAAGCCTGTTCTCAGGTACTTTTCAAGTTTTTTAAACAGCTTTAATACAAACCACCGATTTCTAGCAGACAATGCAGTTAGAGTATCCGGAGCTGTGCAAGCACCACTGTAGTCTATTTTTATCACCCCAACAAGAAGCCCCTGCGCCCAACTGAGTGTACCCAACCTGCTGCCACCCAGCCCGCGCCCGCCGGGCAGCCGAGCACTCACTGCTGCCTGTGGTTTCCTGCTCAGCACAGGTCACGAGGGTGCCACCAGCAGCGCCCATCTGGGGCTGGCTTCTTCACTGCTGTCTGCAAGGCCCGGCCTCGCGGTTGCACGTGTGGCCCTCACTGCCCCTGAGTGTCAGTCTGCTGTGTCTCCAGTCTGTCGCTTGATGGACGTTTGCATCATTTTCACTCTTTGCCCCTTGTGAACTGTGGTGAGGTGGGCATTCGTGTGCCCGGCTTTGTGTGGACGGTGCCTGAAGCGCTCATGTTTGTGTCTTGGAGGTGGACTTGCTGGATCCTTTGCTAACTCATTGTCTAACAACAGCAACAACAACAACTACTACTACAGCAGCTACCACTACTGCTGCTACTACTTTCCTCCTCTTCCTCCTCCTCTAATGCCTCCATCTCCTCTTCTCTTCCTTCTCCTTCTGTTACTGGGATTTAAACTCATGCCTGGACACTGTGCTCTTGCTGACACCCCCCCCCCCCCCCCCCCGCTCAATTCAAGCCTGGTGCTCTACTGCATGAACCACACTGGAACTTAGAGTCTCACAGACTTTTCTACCCAGGCTGGATTGAAATCTCAATCTTCAGATCTTAGTCCCCTGAATAGCTAGGATTACAGGTGTAAGCCATCAGCACTTGGCCATGTTTAACTTCTTGAGAAACGGCCAGATTATTTTCAAAAGTGGCTGTACCACTTTACATTCCCTCTAGCATCTGTGTGTGAGTTCCATTTTTCTCCGTCTTAGCAGTTGTTACCTTCGGATTCCTGGTGGATGAAAGGTGATATCTCACTGTTGGTTTTTTTTCATCTTAATATCAGGTCTAGAACTCAGGGCCTTGAGCTTGCTTGGTTTGCTTGCTTAGCTAGTGCTTTACCACTCAGCCATGCTTCCAATCTGGCATTTTTGCTCGTTAATTGGAGATGAAGTCTATTCATAAACTTTTCTCTCTGGGCTGGCTTCAAACCTGAAGCCTCCAGGTTTCAGGGAGGAGGATTACAGCATGAGCCTCTAGTACTGGGCTTTGTAGTTTTTTTTTCTTTTTGTCTTTTTAAAAATTATTATCTTTAAGTCGTTGTACAAAGAATTTCCCATTCTACAAAAGAGTACATGAGTACAAAGCGTCTGACAGCATTGTCACACATCTCTCCTAACCCATCCCTTCTCTCACTTTTTTTCTTTAATTGAGATTAGGTGATTACATAAATTTCACATATTTCACTTTGGAGTTATTTTGATTTGCATTTCCTTTATAGTTAGTGAACATTTCTTCATGTGCCCACTACCACTAGTTACTAGTGTATTTCCTTTGAAAAATGTCTTCTTGGGTCCTTTAGCCATTTTTAATTGGGTTATGTGTCTTTCATTAGTGAGTCATGTTTCCTTTTCCATTTCATATTTATGACGTGCAGGAACTTGGGGTGGCTTCAGGTATTCTTGTCCAGCAGCTTGTTTAGAACATGGCGTCTTCACTTCCTATCTCATGGCAGTCTTAGAACAGAGTGTGTTGTTCTTGTCACAAGGGAAAAGATCACAGAAATACCTCAGTCACCTGCAGAAAACAGCTCGAGGATCGAGCAGAGTTCCACAAACCAGGTGGGCATTTCTGTTCATTTTAGAACCATCCTTGACATACCATGCTCACACAGCAGAGCAGGTGCATTAACTAGACTTGATGAGAGAAGCAGAATGTGGATCACGTGCCCTCATTAAACTATTTGGCCTTGGTGTCAGGAATGAGTACCCATGAATAAAGAAAAATAAGCTTGTATTTATTAGGGATGTGGGGGCAGCCTTCACAGGTATAGGGGGTTCATTTCTGGTTGTTTTCAGAGCATTTGGTAGTTTTTCAACCATGTTCAAAAATTAGAACTCTTAAAAAATCATCAAGCAGCCTGTCCTGGTCTATGCACTGAAGTCCATGTCCCTGCAGAGACTCTGTTTTCATTCTATTGTGCTAGAGTCAGAGTTACGGGATTTCTAGTCTTTTCATGTATGTGGAGTTCACCAGCTCCAAGTGTGGTTTCTCTTTGTTTCTTGGGTTTTCATGATTCTGTTAAGATTTTTGAGAAATAATTTTTGCTTCGTAAGTTTCGTGTGCTTCCTGAGGGATGTGGTACACTTGTCCTTTTAAAACTTTATGAAGTGTACTCTTTTTTTTGGGGGGGGGGTGATAGTAGAGTTTTGAATTCAGGGCTTTGTTGTTTGTTTGTTTTGGTCCTAGGGCTTGAACTCTGGTCCTGGGTGCTGTCCCTGAGCTCTTCAACTCAAGGCAAGAGCTCTACCACTTGACCACAGCGCCACTTCCAGTTTTCTGGTAGTTAATTGGAGTTAAAAGTCTCACCGATTTTCCTGCCCAGGCTGGACTTGAACTGTGATCCTCAGATCTCAGCCTCCTGAGTAGCTAGGATTACAGGCATGAGCCACTGGTGCCCGGCTAAATTCAGGGCTTTTAACCACGTGATT